CGGACATTACTAATAATACTAAACTACCCGCTATAGATTTAAGGCTGATTTTAATAGCCTAGAAGCTATAGATCGATCGGAATAGCTTCGTTTATTAGACCGCCGGGCTTATAACTGTCAGAGTATAAATAAGGTACGCGGAATTATATATATATATTCATCTAAGTACAGTTTATAATACTTCACGGGAATATCTAACTATACGAAAAAAGCAGGGGAAATAAGGGTGGATATATAGGACAGAGGTACCCCATACGTCTAACACTATATAGTTTGTCACACCCCGATAAGGTGGCTGTGGGATCTGAGAGCTTTACTTAACGTAACTAGTGGCCGTGGATATCGACGTGGCAGAGGCATGTTATTAACGTGCTAATCTCGTAATTAACTAACCGAATCGTTTAGTTATTATCGCATAGGATCCTTAACTCCGTATTATTAAACTCTATACCTATACTAAACAATCATTATTATATAAAGATACCTTCTTGTACTGCTTATACTAACGCTACTAGATCTGCTTCGACTATTGACGTTATAACCGTATCTTACTGATTAGCGCCCCACGCGATAGTTCTTCTAAATAACCGTATTACGAACGCTTAACTACTCTTATGGTTAAGGGTATTATGGGTAAAAGAGGCGTTAGTATAGATTTTCATAGTATCGCCACCCCTTAGTTCTAACATAAACGATTAGCTATTAAGTAGATAGAGGATTAGATAATCAGCGGCCTTATAGTGTATCGGCCCTGGATTAGTATTAAAGCGGTATAGCCTGAATACTATAAACGCGATATCAGGCCGCGATATTATAGCTGTGTATAGTATAGATCCTATCTTCCGTTAATAGATTTTAAGATTAGTCGAGGTCCCTATATAGGGTAGTAGTTCTATAGTTTTGATTAGGTGCGTTAGGCGATAGTTGCTGTTATGCATACGGTTACTATTTAGCTTTAAAAGGCGTTCTAACTTAGTTACGTAATCGCGTTACGATAACTAGATCTTATATACGGCACGGTCGCGAATAGTCTTAATACTAAGGCACTAATAGAGGATCGCTACCTTATAGATTATAGTAGCGTTATAGGTTATTAATAGCCTAGTCTATCTAAGCCTTATATTATTTCTTATACGTAATAACGATATCGTTAACGTAGAAGAATAGGATTAAACCGCGACGTAGAAAGTAATAAGAATCCTATAGCATTATCTAGGAGCTATCCGCTAATAGGATAGCCGAAAGGTGCTTTTACTAAAGTAATAAGAACTCCTTAAGTCTATATAACGGCTTTTATAGAGATAAACGACTCCCTAAGGCTAGAAAGCCTAGCGGCGGGTATATAAAGATATCGTGGGGTAGAGGCGCGTGTATAAACGCGTGTATAACGTCGAATCATAATAGCGTAATGTTACATCGGACGGCGATTACTATTAACGCGCGGAATAACCATCCGGCTCATATAGCTATATATATCTTCTTAAGGGAGGATTAATATTACTAATCTCCTCGTACTACAAGCGTTATCTTTTATTTATATAGAAATCCATACTTATCTAATTTATATATTAATATCTATATCGAGTTTAGAACCTGATTTATATCTATTACGGACTCCGGCACCTATATCCATAACCCTATCTCCTCGTAGCTCCGTAGGTAGTCTTCTTATACCTATCGGAATAGGTAGCTATAAGGGTGCGAGGGTATATCACGAGGGGTTTTCGGAGGAGGAGCGAGGTCTTTACGATAGATTTTCGCTGCCGCCGGAGTAACTACTAGAGCCGTGCTCCCTAAGGTTTCTATTAGGGCCGTGGACTTATATAGTGGCGATATATACTGATATAGTGTTATGGAAGTAGTCTTTTTTAACTGTAATTTAGTTACCGGAGTCCTTTCTAAGGTGCGTGTTATACCGTAGCGGCTGGCGTTAAACGCGGCTACCTAACTATCTCTTTACTAGCTATCTCCTTACCGATTTAGTCGCGCTCCTCTGTTTAATAGGAGCCCTATAATCGTAACTATAGGGGTATCGTAGCACCGTGTTCCTTTATCCCGGAACCCTGTGGCCGTAACCGTAGAGGTATCACGAGTTTCTAATATAACGGCTACTATTAGCGCTATTACCGATAGCCGCGTTACTAATAGAGAGGGAAGTAGTGGACTAGGTGACTATAGACGGTAATCAGGTGCTATACTCGCTAAATCACACTATTCGTGACCTAAATCTTATCTATCTAGACTCGAGATAGCCTCTTCTACCCCTTTACGGACGGGTATTACGGACTATAACCTCGACGATACCGTTAAGAAAGGGGATCCGGGGGAAATCACCCCCGGCGAGGGCAGGGGCAGGGGTATATTAAGCTTAAAATAAGCAGTTTTATAAAGGAGGGGTCCTTAGCTTATACGTTTATAAACGGCCGTGACTCTCTAGCCCTCTCTTATCTAATCTAACTAATTAGGTCTTCTAATGTCTTTTCTATTAATTAACGAAGATCGTCCGTAAAGGTATTAATATCGCTATCGAAGAAGGCGCGTTCGTTAAAATCCACGTCGCGCATGCGAATAACGCGGTTATAGCAGTGTAGGCCGGGTACCCAGATAAGGAAAATATTAGTGGAATCGTAGCCAATAAGGTAGCCGATATAGGCACGAGGATCGATATGACTTAATAGCTTATTCGCACCCTTTTACGCGTCTTTGGTTGTTATATACGCCTTATAGCCGTAGGCTCGAAGGTATAATAAAATCGGCTTTCTTTTATAGAGAACCTTATATAGCGTTTTCTAATCCTTATTGTTATACTGCCTTCGTGGCGTACGGTTATAGACGTACGTAGCCGTGGGAATAGCTTTAGGCTACACGAACAGCTGTAGTTTTACGTAGATATTTATCGCACGCCCGTTTAAGATTACTATAGTAGTAGTATATTCGCACTCCCGTTCTACGCTTAAGTATTAGTAGTAGATACCTCTAAAAGGATACCCCTTTGCGTGGGAATTAGATGATATCGTCGGATTAAGTTAGCTTATTATTAGCTGCGACAACGCGTACCTTATAGCCTAATTAACGGTCTATCTAGGCGAGGAATTCCTTGATTATTACGAGGATATCCGCTACTAGTTTGCTCTTTATAACGTAGGTGGCCGTAAAGCTACTATAATAATCAGTAAAAATTATAAACCGCGAATCCCCATCGGACGTTTATTTAAAATCCGTGAAATGAATCGCCTATCGTTTCTCTACGTAGATTAGTACTATACAGGGGTGCCTACTAATATACTATTTTATCTTTACGAGCTTATAGGCCACGTAGTCGGGAGTTATTAGTCCCTTAATCGTACCCCCCTACGTCTACTCTTCTAGGTGCCTAAGTGGTTTAGGGCTAGTATACCTTAGCCGTAGATACTATAAGATACTCTCCTAGTGCTAAGATATCGTATCTTTAATTTTCGGATAGAATAAAAGCCTAGAAAAGTAGCCGTAGATTAGTTAGAATCGTAGGGTATATACTTAATAAAAGTCTAATCGAAGTAATAACTTAGCTAGTATAGTATAGATCTATCGGTACATCGAAGGTAGTTCTTTAGTAGCTCCTAATCGTACTAGTATCCTCGTAGTCGTAACGGTTAGTTTAAGATTACATTATGGGTAAAATCTTCGTAGTATACGATATTTAATAGTCTAAAATCAAGGCCTCCTATTTGTCCGTTTAATCTTACAGTCACGTTGCCGTGATCTTTAATAGGAAGCGATAAGGTGTCTATAACCACGCGGTCTTCCTGCGTAGCTAGGGTAAAATTAGAAAAGCGGGGAAAATCGTTAAAGAGACAGATTATTACGCCGGAATCGAGGATAGTAAAGGCTCGAAGAGGGTAGTTAGTAGTAGCGGTTGCTACTATAAAGCTAGCGGCGTAGGAGACGCCGCTACGGACGCTACTATAGTCGAGTTATGCCTCTTTAAGCCATATAGAGTCCCGGTTTATATCCTTCTTCACCTTCTTTATAGTATATAGTTCTTCTACTTCCGCGCGTATCGTAGGGTCGTATTTAAGAATCTATTAGATAGTTATTTTAGTGCTCTCGGAAGGAGACCAGTTATTATATACCGTTTCCGGAATTAGATAGAAGTAGGTTTTAATATCGTGACTAGGTATAGCGTATACGCGGTATAACTACCCTCTCTATAAGGTAGATTAACAGCGTTTAGAAGAGGAACGGTTAGCTAAAATAGTAGAAGGTATGGCTATAGATCCAGCGATAAAGAGATTCTTAGCTTTATTCTTCCCACGGCCACCCTTCTTAGGTTTAGCCATGGCACCTAAGGTATCGTCGCCCTTATCGCTTCTAGTATATAATGCCGGGAATACTATAACGCGGTGGCTACCGCATTTTTCTTAGTCTTTAAGTCTAGTCTCGATATATCGTTAACTAAATAAAGATCTTCGGGGAGTAGTACTTTCTTATCTAAAAGACATCCCTCGGCTTCGGTCTAATCGTGACTAGCGATTATATATATCCTTTTAAAAAAGTCTACTATCTAGATATACGTTACGGGCCTTAATTAGACCTCTTTAAGGCGTATTAATAGCTCTTACTCTCTAGGTAACCACTCCTGTAGCCTTTCTAGGGTTATTAGTGATACGCGGACGTATTCGTTATATTCTTCGTAGGTGTTAACACGGCGGGTAGTTATATATTAAGTAGTATCGCGGCTGAAGGCTTAAATACCTTTTTAGCATTAGATTACGTAGTGCTCGTGCCACGCCCCACCTATTTTAGTTCGTTTAGCATTCACTAGCTATAAGCTGGTGCTGGACAGTTATATGTCCAGGACACTTACAACGGCACTTTTTCGAAGCTATTCACAATAACCGCGTGTTTGCCCACAACAATAACCTGTTTTAATCCTTTTAAATATAAAGGCTCGCGTTATTGCCGCTATTAAATTCATTAACGAAAACCCGAATTCTGAAGTCGTAACGGTGGCGCGTTAATTTGAAATCCCGCGATATAGGCTGTGTTCACGCCTTCAGGGCCGACCTACTCGAGAGGGTAATAAATCACTAAATTCCAAGCTTTTAGAGCCCGAAGAAAAAGCCCTATACCGCTTTATTAATCGCCTTAATGATACTAACCTTATGGTTCGACCTCTGTTTATTACTATACACGCGATTCTAGAGGCGCGTTACGATATAGAAGAAGGCAACCCCGCCCCTACCGTTAGTCAATAATGGGTTACGCGGTTTATGTAACGGCACGGCTACTTTAAAAAGAAGTAAAAGAAGATAGATACGAACCGTTAGACTACCGAGGATTCCGAACGGGTTCTGTATTACTTCAACCAATTACGGGAGGTTATACAGGAAAACGGAATCCTACCGGAATCTATCTAGAATATAGATAAGACCGGCTTTTAGATCGGGATAGGCAAAGATTAGGTTACGGTCACTAAACGGAATAGATCCTATTATTTTAGAACGCCGTAGAATAGGGAGTCTATAATAGTAATTAAAGCTATCTTGGCAGGTAGCGTTATTATCCCCGTTTTCCTAATCTTAAGCGGCCACGTCTATATACGGTAATAGTACGAATTAGAAGAGCTCTGTAACGATACTACTATCCAGGTCTCGCTAACTAGATATACTAACGACTAGGTCTACCCTACCTTATTTTACTATATAATATCCCGCTAACCGAATCATAGATTAGTCTAGATTAGCTAAAGTATTTCGACGAGTTCTCTGATAAGATATCTATTAGCGCGAAAAGGCTATTAATCCTATATAGGCACGGCTCCCACTACACACGGGAATTCATATAATATTATAACGATCACTATATTATCCCTGTTAGACTACTGCCTTACCTAACCTATATACTTTAACCACTTAACGTCATTATTTTCCAGCCTCTAAAATACTATCACGTATAGGCCCTTAATACGTTAGTCCGCGACAGAGTCGTTAATATCACGACGCTCGAGTTCCTATTATTAATTGAGGGCGTATGCAAGTAAGCGTTCAAGTAATTAACGATCCTTTTGACCTTTAGAAGAACAGGGATCTATCTATTTAACCTATAGGGTATCCTATAATAGTTAGAAGATTATTAACCCCGTATATTTACCCCGCGGCCTTCTCGTGGCAGCGATAGGTCTTCGAACCCAATAACGCCAGTAACCCTTTATTAGATACATCGCTCCGCCCAGAGAATTAAGCATAGTTTACGTAATAAGGCGGAATTAGACCTTACCACTTAGCGTAAAGTAATAAGCTTTATTAAGGGCTTATTATCACTAGCGGCCGAATTAATCTAGGTAAAGAGGGACCTCGCGCGTACTAAGTATGCCAAGCTTATTTCCCGCTAACGCCCCGCTACTAAAAACGTCCAGCTATAGCACGGAGGGGTTCTAACCGTATATAAGGCGCGTAGGATAGCTAAATAACGCGGTAAGGACGATCTTACTAAGGCGGAGCGTATCGTAGAGGCCGCACGCTTAAAGAAGCAGAGAACCTATAAAAAGGTGGGTAAGGACGCTATAAAGATAGCTAGGGCTTAGAGGAAGGCAAAGCGACTAGGTAAGCTATATACTACGTCAGGGATGGGTTATTAGGCTACGTTATCGTGATAGTTATAAATAGCTTTAAAATCGTCAAAAAGTGGCGATATAACTATCCTGGCCGTATAACTATCCAGTACTAGCTTATAGCTAGTAAGTGCTAAACGAACCAAAATAAATGGGGCGTGGCACGGGTAGTAGGTTACGGCTTTTATCGATAGTATTAGTCTACTAGTTTAAAACGGCTCTAATACCCTTAACGTACCTAGCGTATTTATCCCTCTGTATTTTCTAGCGTTATATCGCCGAGTCGTAGGCACGCTGCCTAGTGGGTATAAGATCTAACCACTATAATGGGGGTAATTCTGCTTATAGGGTCATGTACGAAGGCTGGAAGTTAGCGTAGGAGGGTAAAACAGGCTTTTAAGCAGGGGAAATAGGATTATTAGGGCGTAGATATTCCTAGACTTCGTAATTAACGGCCGTAGCTTCGTAGTGTTTACTCGAGAGCTCCTAATCGCGATGGGTTTTATAGGTAATAGGCTTATATTCTGATACTTTAATAGTTAATAGACACGCTATATCCCCGCGGCTAGATAGCTTTTTAATGGGTAATAGTAAAGGTAAAAAGGTAGTTTTTTTACTTAGTATATTAGATGCCACAGCCACCTTATCGGGGTGTGATAAACCACATTATGTTAGACGTATGGAGTACCCTGGTTCTATATATCCACCCTTATTTCCCCTGCTTTTTTCGTATAGTTAGATATCCCTATAAAGTATTTATAAACTTTACTTAGATAAATACACACACATAATTCCGCGTATCTTATTTATATTCTAAGAGTTATAAGCCCGGCGTTATAATAAACAAAGCTATTCCGATTAATCCTATATCTTTTAGGCAATCAGCCTTAAGTCTATAGCGGGTAGTTTAGTACTACTAGTAACGTCCGCCTATTTTAGTTTTATTTAATCGCTTTATCGTTTTAATCGTATTATCGTGTTTAAGGGTTTAGTATAGTTAATTAACCTTTCCGTTTATTCTATTCCACTACTTTTTATTAGTATAACGATAGCTTCTATAGTAGTAATACCCGTTATAGGCCTCGTAACGCTTACTACTCCGAAAGACTAAAGGCCTTAGATTAAAGCCGTGATAACTATCGCGTACTCCTACGATATCGCCGACCTTATTAATCCTGGCCTGAAAGAAGCTAAACAGCCGAAACGCCGTATTTAAACCGATCTACTATAACCTCCTGCTACTATAAAAGAACGTAACGCCACTAATTAGGATATACTATTTAAGATTTGGTAGGTGGAAGAGGATTAGTATAAGGCTAAAAGAGGGGGATCTAAGCACTCTACGACTATATCGCGAAGACGGTTAGCCCTGCTTTAAAGAATTAGTACGCCGGCTATAAGGAAGTAAGGGATATATTAAATGCCCTTAAGACGCACCTTAAGCCGATAAACGCCGCCTAGAAGGCATTAATTAAAGGATAGTAGGACGAACACCTTTAAAACGTTAGGCGTATACCCTATAAGCGCTAGCTAGAAGACTTTATGAAGCTATACCCCGACGCTAAGATATATAAAGTTCGTGCCTACTATACTAAAGACGATTAGATTAACGGCTTCTTTAACGCTATAGGCAGCGTAGTACTAGAGTGGCTAGAGGGACGCTTTATAGAGCTCCTACGGCTAGAAGAGAAAGACCTACCGTTGATTTAATTTATCGTGGAGGAGTATAGGACGTGGCTTCGTCGCCGCTACCCGTACCGACTCGATAAGAAGCCTACAGTATTATCCTTTTATACGGTAACCTTCCTAGGTAAGGATAAAGAAGGTAAGGATCAGCCGGTATACTCGAGATAATAGGGTAACTAATAGTCCTCTCTGAAGAAAGAGTGGCTTTACGACTACCGTATTAAAAGAAGGAGTAAATATAATCTTAACCCTTTATAGAAGTGCCTAAACGTTAACGAGGCATATAAGAAGAAGGGATATATACCTTTCAAAAAGACCTTAGAACGCGTTAACTATATTATTAATATATAGGATAACGAACGTTAAAAGAGATTCCGGGAGAATATCGAAAAGGACGGTAAAAGCCAGAAAACGGGTGCTGAAAACGGCTCTTAGAAGTTATAGCCGAAAGAATCGCTAAAGGAGGTATCTAACGTTATCCATAACTAAGAGGAGGATTCCGATAAGGAATCCTATAAGATATACTCCCTCTTATAGATTAACGGAAAAGGAAGCGTTAGTAGTAACCTCTTTAACGGGCTATTAATCGATTCCGGCACCTCTAGGTATATCACTAAGTAATAACACTTATTATAGGACTTCGAACCTGTTATAGAAAAGTATTATATTTAAATAGGTAGTAAAAAGACTAAGCTAGTTAAGGGTTATAGAACGATATAATTAGAAGTGGATAACGAATATAGTAATCCATTCGCTTTAGTGCTAAATTGTGTTACTTTTATATAAGACTACCTGATAACTTTAATCGCGACTAGAAGATTAACGGAATATGGTATCGTTTTTAATTCTGGCCTCGAAGTGCTAAAGGTGGCCTCTAGAGAGGGTGATACGCCCTAGAATACCTCCGGGTATACCTCGGTATACTATAGGCGTACCTAGGAGGTACCGTGGTATACGCTATAGCACCTATAGGGTATACCGTGCATACCCGCAGGATACCCTAGGGCACCCGGAGGATTATATACGTAGATACCGAGGATCCTACGGGGTTTACCCGTGGGTATATTAGGTCCCGGGGGCGCGCCCCCGTGTAGCTTAGAGAAGATATCTTATTTTACCACTATTTACAGCACCCTAAAGTCACCCCTTAGAAATCCTGGCTCCTAGGTCCTATAGTACTAGGTAGCCAGATATATACCTAGTTAGGGTATATTAAATAGTAGTAACTAAGTTTTACGCGAGCTTGATATACCGCCGTCTTATAAAAGCTACGTAACGCTACCGTGTCCGCCGTAGTTATTAAGTGGAATAGCTTAACCGCTTATCGCTAGACGAAGACGCCTCCCCTTGAATAGGTATAGGCGTAGAGTATATAAGGGAACTATTATCCTTTAGTCGTGCACCGCTAAACGCTATCTATACCGCTTTTATAACGATTATTAGCCGTGGAACCCTAAAGCTCTAAATTATAACCGATACTAACCCCGCCGACGATATTCCCCGCCTCCGGGACCTTAAGGGAACGAGGAATATTATTAAGATAGTTAATAATTATCCCGATCTCGCCGAGGAATTCCTTTCTCCCGAGGTTCTCGCCCTACTTCGCGTGGCTAAATAAGCCTATAATCTCCCTAGGCTATTAGCGCTAGCGGCGCCTTAACCTTAAGAGGAAGAGCTATAGTCTTAAGACCTATTAAGGAACCTATATACCCTTAGACGTGGATTATAATACCGGCGAAATTCACTAACGCCGTGTTTAAGTGGCTAAGTAAAGAACCTTATTACCGGGAACTCCTTATATGGCCTAGCCGAACTCGGGATCCTAAGGGAAAATAGTCTATCCATCCCTTTACCGCTAGTCCTAAACTTCCGATTATTAAGCTAAAGCCC